ATAGTGGCACATGCCTGGAACGCCAGCACTCTGAGACTTGAAGATCCCAGTTTCAAGCCCAGCCTGAGCAGTTTATCAAGATTCTGTCTCAAAAAAGGATTGGGGATGTAGCTCAGTAAGACCTGTTTGGTTTATAGATTAGTTTTGTTTACTCTAGTTCAGTTTTCTTTCCGTTTGAGATAGGGTCTCACCATGGAGCTCAGGCTGTCCATAAATGCCATCTCCTGCCTCTGCCTCCCAAAGACTGGGGTTACAGGTGTGCCCCAGCACACCTGGCTGACCCTCATTTTAACAATTGTAATACCACCCAAAAAAAGAGGAGGAGAAAGAAAATAGAGTTTTCCCCTTATTTACTATTTCCATCTTTATTTAAGCTGTATAAATTGTTTGAGTGATGCAGTATTACAGTAAAAGACACTGAAGTATTGTACTACTTGCTATATTGTAGAAGAGGCTTATCGTATGTTTACAAAATATGAAAAATGTAACATTGATACTAAATTGCTTTATGAGATCTATAGCTCCCGTGTACTTCCATTCAGCTACTTAAATGCATCTCTAAAGTTGCAGACACGAGTGATCTTTGTTCTTTAAACACATCAGCGCACACATATTAATCAAATGTGCTGTCTGTTTATATTTAAAGTTAAAATTACATTACCATTTTCATAAATCTTAAATGTTCATTTCAGTTGAGTTTGAAGAATGTCTTTACCCCTATTAGAATAAATAGCATCTCTATCATCTTAGAGTGTTGCTTCATTTCTGTTCCCAGAAAGCTTCTCCTCCCCTTCTTCCAGAGGCTACTCTTATTCTAATTATTTTAACATAGATTACTTCCCTGAAATAGGACTTCATAGAAATAGAATCCTATATACGGGGCTAGGTGGATAGCTCAGCAACCTAAGTGCCTGCCTGGCAAGCTCCAGAACCCGAGTTCAATCCCTGGTATCATGTGCCCTGCTGGCCCCCGAACCCTGGGTGCACTGTGCCACCCTGAAACTGGGCATGGTAGCACACAACTGTGGGGAGGCTGAGACAGGATCACTCTGAGTTGGAGCTGCATAGTGCAACCCTGTACCAAAGACATGCATATATACATGCATACATACGTATCTTTTGAGTCCGTAATGCACTTTTTGCATGTAAAGAATTTTTTAGATTCTCTTTTTTGTGTGTGTGCTATTGGAGATTAAACCCAGAGCCTTCTCACTGAGCTGTGCACCCGTCCTTTGTAGCTTTTGAGACAGGGCCTCACTGCGTATCTCGAAGTGCCCAGGGTTGGCCCATACTTATGAGCCCCTGCCTTAGCTTCCCACCATCTTGAGATTTCAGCCTTCACTGCCCTGCCTGTCTTGTAGAGCTTTTTTCATTCATGAGTGTATTTTTGAGATTTATCCTTGGTTTTGCTGTTTTTATTGGTACCTGAGATTGAGTCCATGACTTCAAATTTAGCTACCTTCCTAACCCCCCCTTTTTTTTTTTTAAATTTAGGACAGGGTTTCCTGGGTCTTACTATGTACGTAGATAGGACTCTTAGTGATCCTCCAGTTTTCAGTTTCCCAAGCACTGTGATTACAGGTGTGCTCTACCACACCCAGTCTCAGTGAGCCCGGGAGCGGGGCTAGCATAGCATGCCAGGGATTGAACCCTGGCCACTGTGCTCTGCCTAAGTGGGCGCTTTAGTCCACCAACTCTGTTTTTGGTTTTATTTGTTTGTTTGTTTTTTATATGCTCATCAGTGTGTATCTTTGTTGGGAAGATGTTTATTCAGTCCTTTGTGTATTTTTTCTTCTTTTCCTGGAATTTATTTATGTTTAATAGGCCAAAAATAATTGTAGTTTTTGTTAGGTAATCTAAATAGTATAGCACATATATATCCTCTATTATCTAAATTTAAATAGGATTTTTTTTAGTCAATCTGTGTATAAGTGGAGCTATACACACACACACACACACACACAATTTTTTTTTTTCCCTCTTTGTACAGGGTCTCACTACGCAGTTCGGACTTGTAATGATCCTTCTGTTTTTAGCCTCTCCAGCAGCTGGGATTTCAGGCATGTACCAGATGCCTGGACTCCGTCATTGGCTCAGTGCACGTGGGGGGCAGGGTTGGCGTGTCGTGTGTTACTAGGGATCGAACCCCAGTCCCTGAGCTTTCCTAAGCAAGCACTTAGTCTGCTGAGCAGTCTCGCTGCCCTGATATTCTTGATCTTGAACAAAGACTGAAACTGACAATATTTTTAGTTTCATTATTTTATGTATTATTTTTTGAAACAAAACTTCTCTTAGTCATATGTGCTCAGACTGGTCTTGAACTTGAAGTCCTCCTCAGCATTCCAAGTCCTATTATTATAGATGTACACCACCGTGCCCAGCCTACTTTCTGCCCATTTTAAAATATGCTTTGTTATCTTTTTGTTTTTGAGTTGTAAATTTTTGTATTTTAGGGAAGGGTCTACAGGGTGTTCATGGTCTCACTACTAGGTTGGACTCCTAGTGATCCGCTTGTTTACAGCCTCCTAAGTGCTGGCCTTACAGGCACACGCCACCACGCCTAGTCTCAATTGCTGTTTCAGCATGTAGGCCCAGGGATTGAACCGCCCCTACACCTGTTTGCCAGCACTTTAATCTGCTGAGCTGTTTGAGTTGTAAAAATTCTTTATGTATTCTGGTACACAAGCCTTATCAGATTAATGATTTGCAAGTATTTAATCCTATTGTGTAGATCTTTTTCTACTTTCTGGATAATAGTTTTTGCTGAACAAAAGTTATATTTCGTTTGTTTTGCAGTGTAGATGGAACCTAAGGCCATTTGCAGTGCTGCATAACTGAGCTGCATACCCAGTGTACTGTAGAACTTTTCAACTTCAATAGTATTTTCTTTTGTTACTGTGTTTGGAAGGTGGTTTTTTTTTTTGGTGACCTCAGGTTGCCTTCAATGCAGATCTGGTTCACTTGAGTATCTATCTGTGTTTCCAACCACAGCACCCTAAAGCTGACTGCTTTGTTTGAGCAGGCACTTAAAGAACTGAGCTAATGGGCAGGCCCCCACTTACTGTGTTTTGGTTTTGTACTTAGGAGTCTATTTTTGAAACAAGATATGAAGATTCTTCCTTGTATTTCTGAATTATGTTAGTCCGGCTCTTACGTTTAAGCCATTGATTGATTTTGAGTTATTTTTTTCTAAAGCAGGAAAGGTTTAATTCAGCTCACATTGAGTAAATTTTTCTATGTAGTGTGAGATGAAAGTCCATCTTCATTCCTTTGTATGTGGATACCCAGTTGTCCCAACATAGAATGAAGTCTTAGCCTTGTTATCAAACCTCCTCGGTGGCTATAATTTTATGTATTTCATTTCTGGATGCTTAATTTAGTTCTGTTGACCTTTGTGTCTGTACTTACACTATTACTGCCCTATTTTTTTCTTTTTCTACAGGGTCTCACTATGTAAATAGGACTCACACTGATCTGCCTGTGTTCAGCCTCCTAAGAGCTGAGATTATAAGCACGGGCCACCATGCCATCTCAATTGCTGTCTTAGTGTACCCTGAGTGCGAGGCCAGCATGGCACACTGGGGATCGAACCCCGGCTGCTGCACTCTGTCTTAGGCGCTTTAATCCGCTGAGCTATTTGGCTAGCCCTACTGCCCTGTTTTGATGAATTTTTGTTTTATTATTTTTTTGCTGGTATAAGAAAATAAAAGTGATTTTTATATTTTATACCCTGTAAGTTTTCTAAATTAATTTTGTTAACTAATTCATTAGCTTCAAAAACTTTTTTGTGGATTCTTTCAGATTTTCTTTGTAGAAGATTATGATACTCCTTTCTAATGTGGATGTCTTCTTTCTTTTTCTTGCCTAATCGCTCTTACTAGAACTTCTAATATCGTGATGAGTGGCAGTGGTGAATTCATGTATCCCTGTGTTTTTCCTGATTTGAAGGGACTCGTGTTTTCTCATTCTTAGACCATTATAATGATAGCTGTGAGTTTTTCATAGCCTTATTCTTCTTAGTAGCATGACATTCTGTTTGGTAGGTGTGGTTCAATTGATTTAATGGATGCCTTTGTGTTTTACTGAGTCGTTTCTGATATTATGGGACAAAATTAAAGTAAGTTGTCTTGGGACCGGAGAGATATCTCAGAGACATAACCACTTACCTGGCAAGCACAAGGACCTGAGTTATATCCCCAACCCCACATGCTGTGCGATCTCAGCCCCCGGATGCCCAGACACCTGCCTTACAGCCAAGGAACTGGGTGTGGTGGCACATGCTTGTAATCCTAACACTCAGGAGGACAAGAGGACCTTTTTTTTTTGGAACTGGGGATTGAACTCAGGCCCTTGCACTTACAAGGCAGTTGCTTATTTTATTGAGCTATCTTCCAGGCCCCCAAGAGAATCTGTGAGAGTTCGAGACCAGCTGGGGTGGGGGTGGGGGGACTGCTACAAAAGTGAGCACAAGGCCAGCCTGAACTATATAATGAGATCCTGTGTCAAAAAAAAGTTATCCAGGATTGGTGGAAGGAGAATAGGAAAGATAACTATCTTTTAGTGAATATATAGTTTTTGTTTGGGATGATGGAAAAGTTCTAGATGTAGTAGTAATGTTGGTATCACATTGTGAGTACATTTAATGCCACTGATTATATACTTAAATGTGGCTAAAGTGAATGATCTGTTTTACCACAGTAAGAGGATAGATATCTGAAATGGTAAGAAGCTACCAATATATGATACAGGTGAATCTTGAAAACATTATGCAAAGTAAAGCAAGTCACAAATGACCATATGTTGGAAAATAACATTGAAACTACCCAAAAATCAACGAATCCATAGGAACAAAAAAGACTAATTGTTGCCAGGGGTGGGGGAAGGCTTTAGGGGTTAGGTAGAGAATGGGATTTGATTCTAATGGGTATAGCTTTCTCCTAGGTGTAATAAAAGTATTCCCAAATTGATGATTGTACAGCTCTGTCAATATACTTTTCAAACACTGACTTATGTACTTTAAATGAATAAATAGTAGGGCCAGGGAGATAGCTCAGTGGCATAAGAGCCTGCCTGGCAAGCACAAGGACCCAAGTTCCATCCCCGGTACCACAAAAAAAAAAAAAAAAAATCAGAAAAGTGAAATATAGGTAACATTTTTCGTTGTTCAGTAGAAATTTGTTTACTAAAAATGGTTGATAATGGACAACACATCATTATGGAATACAGATACATTTCAAATAGTAGTAATTTATCTTTTAAAATGCTAACTTGAGGGCTGGTGAGATGGCTCAGTGGTCTAAAGCACCTACTTGGAACAAGCCTAGCAAAGCACAGGGACCGCAGTTCAATCCCCCAGCACCACATGCCAGCCAGCCCCGCCCCCTGGTGGGCTGAGCTGGCCACACACACACACATAAATAAAATTTAAAAAAAAATAAATGTTAACTTGCGATATCCAGTGCTTTCCATAGTTTTGATAGGTATGTTAGCAGTTACCTGCATTAAATCTTGGAAGGACCATTGACATGGCTAGTGTAAGAGTGAGACAGGAACACAGAGGCTGGAATTGTCGGGATTATTCCCTCTCACAGGTCCTAAGGAGGCACTTCTAGGATCGTAAGAGTCCATGGCTCCTTACATCTTTTGTTGTTATTAACTTTAGGAATTAGTGTTTGAAGAATTGACATTAGAAAAAAAAATTTTCAGGGGGCTGGTGAGATAGCTCAGTGGTCTAAAGTGCCTGCTTAGACAGCTGCATGGTCCATGGTTCAATCCCTGGCACCACAAACCCTGCCAGCCCTGCTCCCAGGGCAGGCTGAGCTGGCCACAGAACAAACATACAAAAAACCCTATCACTTTGAGCCAGGAAGATGGCTCAGTGTATTAAGCACTTCCCTGGCAAGCACAAGGGCCTGAGTTTAATCCACGGTTCTGGAAGAAAAAAAAAAAAAAAAAAATAGAAAAAAGAAAAAAAATTATCAAACATTTTTCAACTTTTGTTTTTTAGAGTGGGGTTGAAAACTCAACCTGAGTCTAAGTGCCCTGAGTTACTTGCCAATTACTGTGACATGTTGCTGAGAAAAACACCATTAAGTAAAAAACTAACCTCTGAAGAGATTGAAGCAAAGCTTAAAGAAGTGGTATGCACATTTTTTTGTTTCAGACTTTCAAATTATCTTGTGTTGTGCTTTTAGAAGACTAACAGTATCAGTGAAAATGTATATAATATATGTGCAAGCAGGTGCTTCATGAAATTATACAATATAAGATCAGTATAGACCTTATACACTATAAGACCTATATATTAGATATATTCCATCTAAAATTGTTCATTTTATTTCTATCTTTAGGGGTCATATTTAATTCTTCCTCTGCCTTGATTTGTTAGATAATTAAATTCGGTCTCTTATTAAAGAAAAGAAAAACAAGGATTTGGAATGATAGTTGGTGAGATATTGGCAATTTTCCACTCTGTTTTTTGAGAGCCCACATAGAGACAAATGAGGCGAGATATTAATTGCTTGCATTTTTATTTGTGCCTGGTTGTTAATGGGATGATACAAGCCTAAGAATACAGATGGGGGAAAATGTAGTAGTATTGGAAAAATATAGAAAAAAAGCCTAGATAGAATTGGTGTCAGAAAATAAGTGAAGAAGATACACAGAAAAAAAATTGGGGAAGAGTCACTGATTTTCATGAAAAATATTGTCACATTTTTATGCAAACTGGAATACTGATATTTCTAGGGACTAAAGAGTCATTTGGTTACGGTCTTAAATTTGCTACCTTTTAACATAGTGAAGGGGCCCTCAAGATAGCTCACTGGTCTAAAGTGCCTGCTTAGGCAAGCTTAGGCAAATGCCCAGGGACTGGTTTGATCCTCAGCACCACATGCCGTGCCAGCCCTGCCTCCAGGGTGAGTTGAGCCAGCGATAGATAGATAGATAGATAGATAGATAGATAGATAGATAGATAGATAGATAGATAGATGTAAAATGCTCTGTTGCACTAGTTATTTTTAGAAATGAGTAACTGATTTAGTAGACCTCTACTTGTATATGCTTATACAGATTTCTGAATTTTGACAAGTAATGAGAATATGTAAGAATTAAAAGTAACTTTGATTTTTATGCAGCTCTTGGTACTTAAATACGTACAAAACAAAGACGTTTTCATGAGGTACCACAAAGCTCATTTGACACGACGTCTTATATTAGACATCTCTGCCGATAGTGAAATTGAAGAAAATATGGTAGAGTGGTTAAGAGTAAGTAAATTTTTTAAATATTTGGTTTTTTAATAGAGTACATGGTTTATGTATGTGCATGAGGGGTACATATTTTGGTGGTATGGTTAGTGTTAAGGATGGTTTTTTAGGAACATGGCATTAGATATAGTAAAGATGCCTGATACATTAAATTTGCTTAACCGAGCCTTGCAGTGACGCACATTTGCTCTTGCTTTGTTTCTGCTGGTTAGCTTCCATTTGTGCTCTATTTGGACAGTCATTTCTTTTTTAAGGTGTTTTTAATACTAAATGCTTGTCTGCAGAGTTGTTACTTGTGAATTTTAGAAAGACCCTTTAGATGATGTCCTGTGAGGGAAATCAATGCTAATTATAACTGTAATTAAAATATTTAAAATAAAATATTTTTAATATTTAATTTTAGATTCTTAAAGTATCTTTATGCTTTTTAACTAATGCACGTTTGCTGTACCTGACCTCATTCATCATGGAGAGCTGGTGTGTGTAGAGGGT